AACAAGGCATATTGGATTAGACCAATCTAGTTCAAAATATTTATTAGATTGGATTTGGACCTCATCTGTTCATAATAAATTTATATTGGATTGGGTTAAATTAAGCCAATATGTGGTCCATTGATATAAGATAATAATATAGGTATCAATGAATCAGGTTTGGGTTGAAATCAATCTAAATTAAAATGAAATTGAACAGATTGGACGATCTATACATTAAATTGGACTGATCCAAAATTGTCCAAAATATTCATTGGATTGGTTTGGACCTGGTCCATTTGTAATGCACTCGCATTGGGCTAGATCGGATTGGATCAAATCCAGTCCAATTGGCACCCCTACCTGTATGGGTCTGAATTTCAATAAAATTATCAAAAACTCATTGGTAAGTATTGCTGATTTTAGTTGGAAAAAATTGTATATATAATTGATAAATTGTATATATCAGGCTAAATATCCCCAAAGCTGAAACATAAAGGGATTATATTAGTACTCAATAAATTACTAACATTAATATCGTGTTGAGAAATAATTAATTAACACATTCATCCATTTTATCGAGGTACTAGTTCAGTTACTGTGACACCATTTCTTGATTCTTGTGGTGATTTGTTCGATGATTTTTGAGACTTGGTTGCAGTAGAATGCAGCGGAATCTGATTTCTGGCGAGTGACTGAATCTGAGTGGTGAGGAAGAATTCAGGCTTTGAAGGTACGGCCAATGTTAGAGTGTGATTATTAAGCATGAGAACGACCGATGACATGTTGGGTATTGCAGTTGGATCATTCTGAACACATAGTAATCCAACGTGAATGCATCTCAGCACTTGACTTCTCTCATGGCGTCCTACAGTTTTATCCAGCAACTTCAAAGCAGCTGCTCCATTCTTCCAGTGTTGCCATACCTGCGTGCCCTAATTAAACATAATTATATATTGAAGTGAAAGCACATCAACTTCTTCTTAAACCAGATATTACTAGTGTTTCAGATTAGGAATTTGCTCCGAATCTAGCTATTATTCTCACATAGCTTAGAAGATTGGTAGTTCGTTCAGATGCACTGAATGTAGAGTTCTTTCGGCCTGTCACTATCTCTAAAACTAAAACCTCAAAACTGAACACATCTGACTTCTCTGAGAAGTGCCCATGGTAAGCATACTCCGGCGCCATATACCCACTGCATAATCACACCAACCAAATTCGATTCCTTCTTGAGTAGTTTATGCTGGCAAAAGTTAGCAGCAATGAATGACATTCTGATCAATAGTGTAACGAGGATGGAATGGAATAACGTTAGACTTACTAAGTTCCAGCAATTCGCTTCGTTCTACCTCGAGTTTGATCTCCAATGAAAAGCCTTGCCAGACCAAGGTCTGAAATTTTGGGGTTCATATCTTCATCTAGCAAAATATTGCTAGCTTTCAGATCTCGATGAATAATCCTAATCTGAGAATCTCGGTGAAGATAAAGTAGACCCCCAGCAATTCCAGAAATTATGTTGTATCGTTTTTCCCAGTCTAGCCCCAACCTCTTAACACGATCTGTGTTGTTCAATTCAAATAGAATTTCATATCAAATATCGAGACTCGAATTGGGCAAGTACTCATAGACGAGGAGTTTCTCTAGCTCTTCTAAGCAGCAGCCCAATAACCTTACAAGGTTCTTATGCTGAAGTTTGGCAAGAAATTGGACCTCCGTTCTGAGCTCTTCCAAGCCTTGTTCGGAGCCTCTTGAAAGCCTTTTCACGGCGATTTCATACCCATCATCCAGTTTTCCCTGTAGACACAAGTAGGCGTTGTAAATGAAAGAAGAAAAGGAATCCTTGTTAATTCAACAGTTACTTTTTATCTGTAGGTATATTTGAAACGTTGATTACTTTGTAAACCGGTCCAAACCCTCCTTTTCCAAGTTTATTGGCATCAGAGAAGTTTTCCGTGGCAATTTTTATTGTATTCAAATCAATTAGGAATGAATCTTCCCTCCCTGTGTCGTCTTCTGCATCATCTGAAACAAAAGAGAGAGAGAGAGAGAATTTTAGATAGGTTCACAGATAAGGAGATGATACTCAAGGGGTTTTTATATATCAGTCAGCATTTTCGGAAACATGATACCTTTTAAACAAAGTAAACCAGAAAATAAAATAAAAGAATTAAAAGAAAAAACTAACTTAGAAGTTAGAACCAGACTGATCAGACCATAAAGTAATTCAATCTATAATTGCACTACCTAATGGAGATGGATTACTTATCCCAAATTCAGTTTCGAAGATCTATTAATATGGATCGATGCATTGTTGGGCTAGAGAATATTGTAGCAGGGATCAATAGGCGGTTGGTTTTTAGGGCTGGACGTTTGTCTTTTTGCGTGTTGTTTTGTTTCCGTGGGCTTTTTTTGGCTGGGCATTTGTGGTTCGGCTTTTGGCTCGGGCTGCTGAGCCTAATGTAAAAGCCGGTTCGATATACAAATACATTATGGATTATGGTATAGTAGTTATGTATACAGGCATTTGGTAACTAAGAATATATTTATATACTGAAATTGAAAATTACTCGATCATCACAAATTTCAAGACGTCTCCATTTAAAATTAGAGAAAAATACAATCGAAAAAAAGAAAAAAATAGATACAAATTTTGCACTATTCAAATTTTAGAGTTTGTGGTTGTACCTAGGACAATCAAAATCACTTGGTAAGAATACAAAATTATTAATACAAAAGTAAACCAATTTTATATTTTCATAAAGTTGTATATTGTAAGGTGCCAATTGGTTGGTTATAGTCGAGATTTGGGATTGAATCCTACCTGCACTAGGGTTGTGGGGTTATAGAAAGGGGTGTCAATCAGACCAAATTTGGTCCAATATCCAATCCTGTCCAAGTCTATTACAAATGGACCAGGTTCAATCCAATCCGATGAATACTTTAGACCATTTTGAATCAGTCCAGTTTAATGTTTGGAGGGTCCAATCTTATTCAATTTGGTTTTAATTTAGATTTGTTCCAATCCAAACCTGATCAATTGACACCTGTATTTTTATCTCCTATCAATGAATGAGATATTGGTTCAATCTGACCCAATCCAATATAAACCGAATACAGATAGACCAAATCCAACCCAATCCAATAAATATTTTGGACCATTATGTCAGGACTGGTCCAATTTAATGTCTTATTGATCCGTCCAAATTGATTTTAATTTGAGCGGGATCTATCCCATAATTACCCATTAACACCCTTAGTTATGGATATGAGTTTGGGGATGGGCTACCCCCCACCCCAACTGAATATATTTATGTTTGCCACTTTTCCCAATGGAGCCTATTAAGTTACTTTATTCTCTAATATCTTTCTATACTAATAAAGTACAAGGTTGAGGGAAAGTTTACCATCTCTTTTTTTCCTCTTGCTCATGATCCTCCTCCATAATAAGTAAATGAAAACGGTAGTCCGATAACCGTAGGAGCAGCTATGGCGACGACGATTATGGAAGTGTTTGGATATTCTACGTCAACGTGAAGCCAATTCATTTGTTACAGAACTGCTTACACATTATGTAATGACATGTTCAACAAATGTTAGGAAATCCTAAATTAAAAACATAAACTTTTTGAGAATACTTTTTCATCAATCAAAAAACAAAAAAATTCTAGAATACAAATAAATTGTAATTACGCAGTTTTATTTTTACATAGTTTGATCATATAATTTGTGAGTTCTGAGGTGATTCTTTTGTTTCTTAAGATCTTATTTTTCTTAATAAATGTATCTTTTGTCTTTGTTGGACATTATTTCGGGGGCCCTGCCTTTTATTAGTACGGAAAAACTCAGAAAAAACATTAATTAATTTACAATATTTTTCTACAAACGAAAACCATATAGTAGCAAAAGTGGTTTGTTTGGGGGAGGGCTATTCTCTGTTGTTCACAAGGAAGAGTATGTTTTACAGTTTGAGTACGTTGCTGATGTGTAGAATTATGATTTAGTAAAACCAATGAATTGATTAGATCGATCAATGTATTCCAATTTCTAACTATCAAGCTTAAAACTCAATTGGTTTCAAAAGAAGAAAAGAAAAAAAAAAACTTAACAAATTGACATCATGAATATGTATATGAATTAATATAGAACCAAATTTTGATTCACAAACATACAATTAATATAGAAGAAGAAGAAGAGTACCATGATCACTTGATGAACCAGATGGAGGATATTCATTTGCAGGAAGAAGATAAAGAAGATAGAAATAAAACTTCAAGTACTGACGGAGGGGGCCATGGCAGTGGAGAGAAGCTTCGTTTGGGGGCGGAGGAGGCGGATATGGGAATTGAAAGAAGTTATATATCTCATATCTTAAATGACAACTCAAACTTGATGCAGCGTGATACACTCGACCAGGCTAACTATACAAGCACCCGGATGATCGAGTCAGCTTTGGACTTGAAGCCTGCAAAAAGAACTAGGCATAGAGCCTTAGAAGAGAGAGAAGTGAATAAAGAAATTCTGTGTATTCTATTAACTCAGAACAGAATTATTTATAATACATCTGGTAGACTTGTAGAATAAGTAGGAAAGTTAAAATTGTAAAAGAACTAAAACATCTGGTCTTCTAACCACCGTCGAAATCCTCAATCCTCCTTAGGCTGCCTTTGATATCCACCGTCCGATAGCCACCATCTTCCAGTGCTATTCAATGCATGGAGTTGTCATTGTTATCATGTGCATGATTTTCGCTAGATAATGCATGAGCCTCCCTAGCGGTGAGCTGTCACTGGTTGGTGAGCCGACCCAGTCGCTGGGTGGTGAGTTGGCCCTCCATCATTCTCCCCCACTTGGAAAGAACTCGACCTCGAGTCATGACTAAGATATGCAAGTATTGTTTCCGATAGGTAACGATGAACTTCAACAATATTAAAAGTTTTGGAGATATCCATGTGATCTGGCAAGTCCACTATGTAAGCATTGTCGTTGATCTTCTTAATGATCTTGTATGGATCGTATTTCTAAGGTTGTAGCTTGTTATGTTTCCCAATGGTTATGCGTTCCTTCCTTAAGAACACCATGACTTCATCATCTACGTCAAACACCTGGTACATGCGGGTGTTACAACTCGCTGAACGGGAATTAATCATCCCCCTCAGACAACTGTAGCAGTAGGTTACCAACAAGTCTCGGGTGCATTGTGACATACCGTATAACTTTTTAGAGTAGGAAAAATTGGTTATCGCCATGGCGGATTTGGATGGGCTAGATGCAGCTTCTGCAGACAGATTGATTGTCCATCAAGGAGTCTAGTTTCTGAGTAAAAGCAACTGGGTCCGGTTTGGTCTGCTTCTGTGCCGAACAAAAACTGATTTTCACCCGATCATCGCTTTGGGAAAAGAAGTTCCGGCCGGAGTATCGCAAAAGACAGTGCCCAAACTGGATGACTGCTCCTTTTCGGTTAGGACAGCGTCGGACAATCTCCACGCTCGACGTATTCACACATTCCCGACAGTTAGACTCTGTGGTATTATCATTGCACTGGAGGAGGCCATATACCCCATGGGGTTCCTCGCCGGAGATCGTCGTGTTGAAACGTGTAGGAGGAGCTCTAGTGTACAATGAAGTGAAAAGGTGGTCGAGATTGGCTTCAAATTGGCTTCCAGATGTGTAACTCTCGGTGCCGTAACAGTGATAAAATTCCCGATTAACTGCTTAAGAGCAAATGGAAAGAAAAGAAGAGAAGCAAATAATATCAAGTAATAAGTGGCATTTGCTGCCAGAAGATGCATCATGCGATAGGGTTCTTTTGGTACCAATATATCATATATCTCCAACAACAACGAGCTGGAGGTTTCAACTTGAAGAAATTAATAACAACTATAGTTTAGTTAATATTCAAAGAGAAAAAAAAATGTTGAATGGGTTTTATATTAAGATTAGCTACTTATTTGATTTTTTTGGTAGAAAGAGAAATTCATTCAGAAATAGCCAAAGACAAGAAATAAAGGTGGGAAGTCTGGACATGAACATAGACTTTGGGTCTTTTCCCTTGAATAATGTTGATCTCCTTCCATACGTTTGGGCGGTGAAAGTCTGAAAAGGATAGTCTTCCCTTCCCCAATGAAACTTTGGTTGTCGACAGATAACAGCAATTTCCGTCGCCTGTTTACATCCATGAAACCTGTCCAAGCCACATTCAAAGTTAAGAAGAAGTATCTATGGACCCGTCGTTCCTCTTTCCGCGAAAAGAAATTGTCTTTCTGCGAAATTGTATTGGTCGGTCAACGTAAAAGGTGGACCCAACGGCTCCAAACTCCAAAGGATGCGAATTCAGATTCCAAAGTTGATACCCACAGAGTCACAGACTATGTAACCATCTGCTTGCATTGAAATACCCACAGAGTCAGTAAAAAATAATATTTTTATATAATAATTAAGATCGGATAATTTTTTTGGAAAAATATTAAATAAAGGCAGTGGGCACACTGTTGCTCGTTTTCCTGCCTCTGTATTCAGCGAATAGAACTTTTAAAAACGATGAGAGAAATCCAATAAAAAGCAACTGGTAAGGAAATTCCTCGAGCTCGACCAACCGATTTTACCCAGAAAATTCGCTTTAATTGATTGTCGTTGGTCTCATACCAGTTTTCAATCTTGAGCCCGGAGTCCTGACTCCTGAACTACGTCAACATGGGTATTGAACCAGAACCAGATGGACATTTTTTTGGTGGAACAAACCAGCTGGACTCGCTCAATGAGTAAATTCGTACGAATCGGGTATTTCCATTTGCCACTTCCCTCTTCTGAACTTGGATGTTACTGATGAGACTGAAAAGAACCCTATTTTTGTCTCCCAATTTTCATCTTTTTACATCTCTTTAGCACTTAAATGAACTCATTACTCTTTTATTTCGATTTAAGGCAATAAAGAAGGCAATTGGAAGAAAATAGGGCAAATCGGGTGATTTTGTACAGTTTCGGCGATAGTCAGTAATCTGGGCCTAACTCTCAATTCCGGACTCCGAATTGGACAATTCAAGAAGCATTAGAAAGATGAAAGGAAGGCCCACAACTTTTATGTTTTGGGTTTTGACAGATTCGGCCTACATCATATACGAAAATGAGTCCGAAGTTGGAGCAAGTTCGTAACCAGGCCTATTTCACAACTTAAGCCCAACTCACAGAAGCACCTTGAAGCAGCCCAAGTTTTAAAGCAGCCCAACTCGAATTTAAGAGTCAAGAGTTCAAATCTCGAATGTAATCTCCAAAGAGAGAGTCTTATCAGATCTAAATTCTTGAATGTAATCCTAGAGAGATAAGAAGATTGAGATTAGATCATTAGATAGATAGGATAGGATTAGTTCAAGAAAGATCAAGACTCCCTAAAGATAAGATGATCTCCTACAAGGAGTTGAAAAACAACCATCTCCTTTGGCTATATAAAGAGAGGGGCGAACCAACTCTAGCATCACTCACTCCAAGATCCAAGAGATCACCAAGCAACTCAAGAAACTCAAGAGAGTAGTTCAGCCATGGAGAAGCAAAGCATAGAGATTGCGTAGATCATGAGCAGCTAAGCTTCTTTTTCTGGTTCAAGGGGGGAGGTTCGATTGTGCCATTGTGAGGTTCTGTAGTTAATTTATTTTCTTKYTTTTTAAYTCAAGTATTCATTGGTTCTTGTGCACATTTTTATTGGATGTTAATGTTAATTAGCCTGACNTTATTGGATGTTAATGTTAATTAGCCTGACAAAATTGAATTAATGTTGATTTTCCTACTGCTATCCATGATTTCGATGATCCGTAATTGTCACGAATAGTGGTACAAGTAGAAATTAGGTTAATATCTTTCTRGGTCAATTGTTYGTGACAGCCTTTGACCAATGTATTGACATGTTTTAACCTAAAGGGAATTGATGGAACAAGATTCAATAATTGCAACTATCACAATTATTGTTATTTTGGTTTAATTGTTTTCACAAAGCTTAATGCTATCATTAATTAATATGGAGTGCTATCGTACCCAGTTGATTAAAGATAAGCGTTGATCGAATGCTGGATTTGGTCAACTGAATTAGGAAAACACAAGGTTTATTATGGCTATCCTAATAAATCTAAGGTTAAATGCTTGAATGACAAGAATGTTGAAATTTACCTGGGATCGATGGCCAATCGACTCAACCCGAACCCTTGAACTAGAATTCGGTAAGACTGATTTCTCTTGTTTGTTTAGTTTGCTATTGCTTTCTTATTCTTTTAATTTTAGTTATTTTATTTTCCCACTCAGTTATATTATCCGTTCGACTAAGAGATTATTGATTTGCTCTCTGTGGGATTCGACCTACTACCACTTTTACTACAAATATTTTATTGTGGGACTAGTATTAATTTTGAGGGCTTCGACAACCCGTCAGTTACCCTCTCTCATCCGCTACTCAAATGGACTTGTGCTAGAGCTAGCATGAGATAAGCTTGTTGAAGCGAGGAGCAGCTAATCATTCTTTCTAGTTTTGTTGATGAAGCAGGGATCATGAGAACGTGTATCTTGCTAGCAGAGAGGGGAGATCAAAACATAGAAGGCTTAGCTGGAAAAGGTTGCTTTCTTGGTTGGTATGCAAGAGTTTTTGGCAGTGGTGATGGACAAGGACTTTGGAGGGAGAAGAAGAGTAGAGGGAATCGACGGTGCGTGTTTGTATCAGATGACAAGGACAAGAGGAATGACAAGCAGTTCACATGGCCAACTTGTGTTGATTTTCATCTTGCCTTCAAAGGCAACATCCTTATCTTTATTTTCACAGTATCTTCTGTTCTCATTCCAATATTGTCTGAATTGAATCTTTTGCCTTTCTTTAAATTTGTGTTGGGCTTTTCGATTCTTCAGTTGGGTCTCATCTTCTTTCTGGTTTAATGGGTTTCTTTCGTTTCCTCCCCTCAACTTGTGTCTCGGTTCTTCAAGTGTTTGCTTTACGGAGTTTATTGTACTTTTTCCGTGATGGCTTTTGACTCTGATCGAATGGTCTTAAGCTCAAGAAACCTGTCTATTGGTGTGTAGAGAAATCCCATTGATTGTAATTGTTTTTCTTCTGAAAAAACATAAGCATTTGCTCAACAATACTGCAAATGCAGCTACAGTTTGTCATAGTCAATTCTCGTCCGTTGGAGGAATGAATGAAGAAACGATATCAGTTGGTAGTGCTATGAGTTTAAAATTAGAGAATTCACGGAATTTGAAATACGAAAGAGGTGGGGAAGATCGTGAAGGCTCCAAAAAGATCTTTAATTCACAAGTTCCTGTGAAAGTTCTGCATGAATACAGAGGAGGAGGGAAGATGATCAACAGTATCCAATGCCCTAATTTGATATTTTTTCAAAAAAACTATCTCATTTTGGTTATTACATTAAAAGTGTTATTTTTATTGATATTAAGGGCAAAAAGTTGCCTTTACTGGCTAGTGTCCCAATATATAAACATGATAGATATTTTCTAGTGTGCTACTGCATTTAGTGTATGGGAGTGATGTTGATGTTTCTATTGTCGCTGCAGCTACTGTTAGCAACACCCAAACTCATGTATGCCTTAACTTTGTTTGATGCCACTCGGTGGCACCCATTGTCTAGAACATCAACCCCAGTTTTGGTTTTGTTGCAGATAAATTGTTAATTGTTTGCAGTTGTTGAAACTAAGGTCACTGAAACTTGAAGGAGAAGATTTGGGGCATGTCTGAAGATATTTTCTTTAGAACATTATTTGCCCCCATTTAGTTCCACTGACTTTGCTATTGGGTTATAGGCAAATCCATTACCAAGATACAACTGAGCCTTAGGCGAGAGTCTGCATCCAACAAAGTTGATTCTCCGAAGAAACCTTTTGTGAGGTAGTAACAGATCGAACAGAGAGACAATAGTAATTTTAGAAAAGCCTGTGTGTGCATTTGCTTGATTCGTGCTTCTTAAATAATTTCTGAAGATTTATGGAGCAGAAGAAAGTGTTGGTTTAGAAAAGGCTCCTTAAACAGTCACAATTTCAAACATTGTAACTATTAAAAAGGTAGTTAATAGTTAATGGTTGTTACCTTTGAATAGTGTCTCTTGATCACACCTGATCGAATCGTGACATTGAAGCATCAACGATTAACCTCGCACCATAAGTCAAAGTCGGGCTTCGCAAGCTACGCGGGTGCAAGCAAAGTGTGCCTCTAAAGCAGCCTCATTGTGTTGTACACACACATGTGTGTATTGTGCGGTAACAAGCCTCCATACTCTCATTTTTATTTCTAAGGAGTGTAAATAAGTTCCTATTTAAAACTCAAAAAGTTTTGTAATTTTTCAATGTGGGATAAGTTGAAAGCTAGTTTTAGTAAGAGAAAAAACTATTTTCCAAGACATGCGTACAAGTGTTTTTTTTTATGTAATTGGTCAATCAAACCCCATTGAATTTAATCTCTAATGAGATTAAAATCCAACAGTCACTATTTTCATCTCCCGGTAACCAATAAATAGCTCCACCGTCGACGATGATAATGAAAAAGCACAACTTCCCTAAAATGCCAGGTAAGGTTAAAGACGAATAAATTTATCTTGGGTTTCTTCATTTTATTTAATTTTGTCTTATATCTTGAGCTGTAGATCTAGACATGCAGGTTATCACATTATCTCCTAAAATCCTAAGGCACATCTATTCTTTCCTCGAATCCTCCCTTTCTTCGTCTTCTCTTGGAATAAGTTCTGATTCTGAGACAAAGGCCTTGCTGTACAAGTATAGTTTACTCTGTTTTTTGGAGTTTATAGGGATGATTTGGAGTTCAATTTTGATTGAAAATTTGGGGATTTTTGAAGGGAATATGCCAATCTAATATCTGAATTCGGGGATTTTTGGAAGTTAACCCTAGTTTGGGAACACTTGTATCAGTCTTGAACTTGTATTGGACAATCTTGGGCTTACAAACCATTTATAGGTTTAGGTCCTATTCTCATGAATAGACCAGTTCATGGGCCGGGCCGGGCCGGGCTCGGGCCAGGCTTTCACTTATCACTAATGAAAATATACTAGGCCCGAGCCCGAGCCCAGCCCGACCAACGAGCCTATAACTTGGGCCCGAGCCTGGCCTTGGAAAAAAGCCCGAAACCCAAGCCCGAGTCCGAAGCCCAACCTAATTGAAAAAAAAAACAATTTTCCC